ACATTCTCAGAATCTGCTTCCAGTAAACCACACGTACACGCGCGCGCACGGGCACACAACGCACACGTACACACACACTCGGCAATCAGCAGAGCGTCCCCTTACGCAATCATGCGTGTACGTGTCGCAAGATCTCTGTGTGAGATGGATGTCCGGACGCGTAGCCCTGTCCTTATTTTTATTGGTGGCCAGCCGGGCCACCAACCCGACAGTTTCAGGTGGCCCGACGCCGTTTCAGGTGGCCATTGGCACCCGGGCCACCGTTAAAGTCGAGCCCTGGACCATGAACACCCAATGTTTAACATTACAAGGTTTACATAAACCCCAATTAATAATATTTCAAAGTCAATGAATATCCACAGAAGAATTAATGAATGTCACCTTTTGCTCAATGGTGGAAGCTTTGGAAGGTACTTTGCTGACTGGTCTTGGTAGATAGGTAGCACGGTTGGCACTGTGTCACCTTCTGTAGGTTTTTCGGTCGACCAACTCATGCAGAGAACAGGCGAGTGGGTGCTGAAGGAATGTATGACATCTGCGTTCTCCACATCAACGAGGGAAACCCATCCTGTGCAGTATCCGACCGCAAGTACTGAAGTTCAACATAAAAACTCATCTTTAAATGCGTATATGTAGAAACTCTCAGTGGGCAACTCACACTCACAAAATATGTCCCACATTACACTTATGAGCACGAACAGTATCAACAATCACATGCGAAACAAAATAAAAATTAGTTCCTAAACCAATTGGAGAAGAACACACTGAAGAATGCTGCCATCAAAATATAGCTGATTTACTAATGGCTGCTAAATCCAAGTATATTTCATTTCATGCCTGTCAGATACCTTTCCCATCTGGCCTCCACGATAAAACAGCTACTTTAGTATGCTCAGCATGTGGTGCTAGTGTCCATACTCTTTGCCAGGACAGTCTCTGCAAGTACACTTCTCCTTGAATGTTTGAAAGTGCAATCAGATCCATTTTAGGGTTCCATTCCATGCAGTGCACTTCCACGGGCACATGCTTTTCATCTACTTGCCGGAATGTTGATTGCTGAGGTGCCATTGTTGCAATCAGGTGCACAGCCTGTTTTCCTAACCTCCATTAAAAAAAGACAGAAGCTAGAGGAAGTTTCCACATAAATCGGTTATTTTCTAAGGAATCGGATACAATCCAGGGGCTTGTTGTCAGAAGCAAAATTACTCTTACGCTGCGTTTACACTATCGATTTTTGTCAGCAAATCGTACCGATTTCAAGTGCATTCCAACACAATCGGCTGAAATTCGATTGTATTGGAGTCGAAGCTGCGTTTACACTATAGATTTTTGTCAGCAAATCGTCCCGATTTCAAGTGCATTCCAACTAAATTGCCCCCCGACTTGACCAAAGTGCATTCTAAGAAATTCGATTGTGTTGGAGTCGGAGTCGGAGTCAACTAGCCGAGTTGGAGAAATAGAACCAACTCGGCCCGACTCCGACTCCAATACAATCGAATTTCAGCCGATTGTGTTGGAATGCACTTGAAATCGGTACGATTTGCTGACAAAAATCGATAGTGTAAACGCAGCTTAGTACATGAAAATTTATGCATAATAATTCATTCACGTTTTATGTGCAAAACAGTCACAAAAATACCTGTCTGGGCAGGGTATTCTATTCTATTATTTATGCATGAACCATGCAAGAAACATGCATGATTCATGCATGTACATATCCCTGAATATTCATGTTTTTTTCCAAGAGGGTAATGTCAATTAAAATTAACATTCTCGTGACATAGAAACTATAAACATACCATGCACACTCTCATATACTTAAATGATTTGTGGACATTTATTCACCCACCTACATAAAGCCAACGGAAGAAAGCCTTAAAGTTCTTCATGCTGTTATCAATTACTTGCTGCAGTTCAGTTGCCTTCAGCATGAAAGAGCCGACACTCCTGGACACCACTGAATATAATACATTTAGATTGTTATATGTCATCTATGTAATATCACTTTCTTACCACTGAGACAAAATAAAGATATGTAAAAGAATTATGACTGAGATTACTAGCAGTTACCTTGCAAATTTTCAGGTGTAAGTCCCAGTGCTCCAAACTTGTCTTTCCACTGAGCCATACCCATAACATCACCTAGGTGGTATGCTAATGCTTGTGTGACAGACTGAAATAAAGAAACGAGTGACAAAATGTCCAAGCAATGTCAATTAATTACAGAGAAACATTACAGCATAATGATATGTATATAATGATCGCATGTAGCATTATAGCATTGTGGAATAGTAATTCTCAAACTTAATCAAGCAAAGCTACAATAGTTTATCTAGCACTATTTCAGCAAGCGACAGGTGGTGCTCATTTCACACTTTGCAGAAAAACCATTACTATACCTGCAGGTGTTTTAGGACCAATTTTTGCACGTTGGAATATGATGTCTCCAGTGAATGTCCAAGCTTTTTTAGACCTTTTTCTGTGAGTTCATACAAAAGGAACTGCTGCAGCTCCGCGCTACACGTTCCAAACATCAGTAGCTGAAGGAAATCGTCACTGACTGACCCTGAATCTAGCTTGGCCTTCTCCTCAGCAAACTTTGCCAACTTGAGGTCCATTTCTAGCAGGATGTCTTCCCATGCTTCTGTCATTGCTGTTATAGTTGCGTCGAGGTATGCCATCAGTGATGAAATCTGGCCAAACTTTGAAGCCAGTATCTGTATTTCCCTAGGTTAGCACATGGTTACAGTGAATGTCAGTGTACGATAACAGTTATACCAAGAGAACATGCACATAGAAGTATACATCGACTTGTTAGGAAAAAAATAAACTATTGAATACATTTTACTTCCTATGGAAACAAGTACGTTTTAGTATAGCTTATGTAGCTTGATCCTATTTTTTTACAGCAATGAAAATGTGAATGCTGCTTAATCTTCAGGATTACTACAATCTCCAATGTAATTTGTACTATATGTAATCAGACAAATAGTTTGTTACAGTATTCATCTATTATAATTTTCCCAATGTTAAACGCACATTGTTCGCGTTATTAAACACCTACATGTGTCTTTTGCAAAGCAGATCCATATTGAAGGAATAGAAATAGAGCTCCTTCATGTTTGGCTCTGCACATTCCAGTAAGATAGAAAGCATTTGTAAGTCACTAGTAAGAGTAGCAGATGCTAGCTTCCCATGCTGAAAGTACAAAACCATTTTTATTTATGCCATATAGGTGTTACTTTACAGTAAAAAATATACATAATTTATTAGAATCACACAAAATTCAAAAACAATGTCTTACCAAGAATTGCCTATGAATATTAAAATTACCATCAACTTGTCTGAGAATAATATCATGCAAATAACGTTTTAACGTTACTCAAAATCTAGATTAACACTATAGATAAACAATAGATCATGAATAAGAATATGAGGGGAACATATTCCCCAAGTTTATTCATACCTTGACCTTTTCACTGTGATCTGCTAAATTCAGTAGAGCAACTGGGAAAATCCCATATGCCAGTAGATGAACTGTAGCATTCTCACAGCCAACTACTAATATATTGAGGTTTACTTGATCCTTTAGCTTTTTTGTATCTTCTGGTGATTCCTCGGTGTGCTTGCTGCTGCTTGATCCAATGTAACTATAGTCGCAAGAGAATTTAGTGATGTTTAATATTAATTCTACTGCAATTCAAGGAATGATTGATGATGATCAATGATTCAGATACTACGAAACAATTTACTCTAGCAAGAGAGAGAGAGAGAGAGAGAGAGAGAGAGAGAGAGAGAGAGAGAGAGAGAGAGAGAGAGAGAGAGAGAAGAATGAGAGAGAGAGAGAGAGAAAGAGTGCGCGCGCAGAGATGAGAGCGAGAGAAAAGAGAGTAGAGCTAGAGAGAGATCGAGAGAGAGAGGAGTCGAGCACGAGAGAGAGAGAGATAGAAAGAGATGACAGAAGAAAGAAGAGAAAGAGAGAAGAGGAAGAGAGAGAGAGAGAGAGAGAGAGAGGATAACCAACCACCAAAATTGTTTATGTTACCTTCCAGTGAAAACATGAACCTTAATACATAATAATTTACAATGAAGAAATGAAGAAATAAGAATGACTTTAAATGTAATGAAAATAATCAATTCAAGCATAAATACCGGCAAATATTTTACTCCAGTCACAATATATAATTAAGCATGCATAAATATTAGTTGATGTGATTCTAAAATAGATTGTAAGTATATCTACAGATATTTAAACAAAGGATATAAATAGTGACCATAACACCATGTATTAACATTACAAGGTTACATAAACCCAATTAATAATATTTCAAAGCTCAATGAATATCCACAGAAGAATTTAATGATGTCACTTTTGCTCAATGGTGAAGCTTTGGAAGGTACTGTTGCTGACTGGTCTTGTAGATAGGTAGCACGGTTGCACTGTGTTACCTTTCTGTAGCGTTTATTTCGTCGACCAACTCATGCAGAGAACAGGCGAGTGGGTGCTGAAGAATGTATGACATCTGCGTTTCTCCACAACGACGAGGGAAACGGCCATCCTGTGCAGTATCGCGACCGGCAAGTACTCAGAAAAGTATCAACATTAAAAACTCATCTTTAATATGGCAGTATATTGTAGAAACTCTCAGTGGGCAAGCTCACACTCACAAAATATGTCCCACATTACACGTTATGAGCACGAACAGTATCAACAATCAACATGCGAAACACAATATAAAAATTAGTTCCTAAACAATTGAGAGAGAACACACTGAAGAATGCTGCATCAAAATATAGCTGATTTTACTATGGCTGCTAAATCCAAGTATATTTCATTCATGCCTGTCAGATACACTTTCACCTATCTGGCCTCTCACGTAGAAACAGCACTTTAGTTATGCTCAGCATGTGGTGCTAGTGTCCATACTCCTTTGCCAGGACATCTCTGCAAAGTACAGCTTCTCTCTTGATGTTGAAAAGTGCAATACAGATCCATTTTATGGGTTGCCATTCCATATGGCAGTGCACCTTCCAGGGACATGCTTTTCATCTACTTGCCGCGGAATGTTGATTGCTGAGGTGCCAATTAGTTGGGCAATCAAGGTGCACAGCCTGGTTTTCCTACCTTCCATTAAAAAGAACAGGAAGCTAGAGGAAGTTTCCACATAATCGGTTACTTTTTCTAAAGGAATCGGATAAATCAGGGGCTTGTTGTCAGAAGCAAAAACTTACTCTTACCTCTGGCGTTTACACTATCTGATTTTTTGTCAGCAAATCGTACCGATTTCACAAGTGCATTCCAAACAACCATCGCCTGAAATTCGATTGTACATGCGGAGGTCGAAGCTGCGTTAACTATAGAATTTTTGTCAGGCAAATCGTTCCCGATTTCAAAGTGGCATTCCAACGTAAATTGCCACCCCGACTTGACCAAAGTGCATTTCTAAGAATTCGATGTGTTTGGAGTCGGTAGTCGAGATCAACGTAGCCGAGTTGGAGAAATAGAACGCAAATCGGCCCGACTCCGCTCCAATACAATCGAATTTCAGGCCGATTGTGTTTGGAATTGCACTTGAAAGTCGTACGATTTTGCTGACAAAAATCGATAGTGTAAAACGCAGCTTTAGCATTAATCTAATATAGTATTTGAGTTCGTATGTATGTATTATGTATGTATGTATGTATGTATGTATGTATGTATGTATGTATTGATAGTTATGTATGTGATGTATGTATCTTCCCTATTAGGCGAGCCAAAACCGCCCAATACGATCTGGATGCGCAATTGTTCACGAGCGCCATCTTCTTATACCGCTGGGAATGTTTCCTAGCTGAAAAAAAACCTGCCAAAGCCGATAAACCCTGTGAAACCCCTGCAATTCGTGAATCTTTCACACAATGTCAGCATGACCTGTACAGTGCAGTGCTGCCCACACAGACCAAAAATCGATTCCCTCACGTGCATCCGGCTGCTGGTATTGTGAAACCGAACACAATACTAAAACACACACAACCAGACACCAGTTTCACGACAGTCAGAGGTACTACACTCAGCTCAGAGGTCAGTTTCAGATGCTACGTCTCAGATGCATTGTACGATTTCGAAGCTATGCAGTTTCTAGATTCAGGTATGGGGAATTTCTCATTTCAATGTAGCCATGGTTGCGTGTCTCTATCTTACTCATGAGGCAGCTTAATAATGACAAATTTGTCATATTAGCTCCTGATACTATATTCCTTCTTATTCATGCTACGATCTCACAATGGATTAAGCTGTACGTGGGGCAGCTTCAAGAGTGGAGACGCAGGAATCTCTCATATTTGCACCAGAGACATAAGACGAGAATTAAAACATGTCTTTCTCAAGAGGCTTTCAAATGAAAAGTCCAAACCCATTTTCCTACATCTTTATAATAACTTTTTGTCATTTACACCATATTACTATTATGTCCCAGGAGCTGCTATAGTTCGGTTGTGCCTGTCATATTAAATGTCATAACGTAACAGTTTTTTTTTCGATTTTCGCCCATTCTTATTAATCTTATTACAGCCTCCATTTCTAATGATTAAAGGCATAATTCGACCAATCGATTATGCAATTTTAACGAATGCTACAGTAAACTGCACCGTTGCATGTAGTTAATAAGTACGATACCTTAATAAGCCAAACAGCGTATTACAGTTTGTCCAATATCACTGCTGTTACTAAAAAGATGTCTAATGGAAATCCGCAGTCCCAAATAGAAAATCGGTTCGTTGACAGTTACAAACCGCCATGCCGGCTGTAACCGGCCGTAAATGGCGAGGCGGTATGTTCATACAGATTATAGCTGCACCGGGACATTTCTCAACGTATGCTCGGCCGCAAGTGATTTCGCGAATCCTTGTAGTCTGAGTGCGCGTATTCGTACGTTATGGTTTTACTCTTGGGATTCGGGAATAAATGAATATACGTTCTTGAGATTACAAGCAACATATAATATGTGGCAACTAGGCAAATAATAACACTAGGCAAACAATTTACGCCGGACAAACAATTCGATGCCTCAACATCGTAAGCAACATGTGACGTCACCGAACCGAACTCGATGTTTATTTTTGTTGGCCATAAATTTCGCGTTGTCGCCAGATTACCAAATTTACGGATTTCAATTAGACATTTCTTAGTAATTAGCAGTGATATTGGACAAACTAATACCGTTTGGCTATAAGGTAATGTACTTATTACTACACAAGGTGCCAGTTACTGTAGCATTCGTCAACTCTTGCATAATCGATGTCGAATTATGCCTTTAATATTGTCTGCAATGTTATTGTCGATTTTTACCCAATGTCTCTATCTGTCCATTATTATAGTACTATGAATTAGTAGCACGATTTTACCCACGCGCCAGCGGGTACCCACACGTCATAGTCTTAACATAAAAGCAAAGGAATACTAAAGCTATGGCTACAGGGAGCCTGATTTGGGGAAGATTTGGTATACGGGTAATGGTTATACAGTCTAGCTGCACTTTATAGTGGTTGTTAAGGTTAGACTAAGGTAGGAGAACCTACTTCCCATGAGGCGTTTTATTGGGGGTGCAGGGGAGATTCTGTATGAACGCCACGTTACTGGTTACTAACTGGAAAGTAAACCTCTAACTTCACATTCATAACTCCAAGCCATGCCGAGTCTAACGCCTGATCGGGTCTAAGGTGGGTGACTATACTATTAGTATTACTATTCAAATTCGAAATTCAAATTCAAATAAGGAGTTATTGCACGGATAATCGCAGATCAACAGGCAAATAGGCTACAAACTACAATAAAACTAGTTTCTAGCTAATATAAACAAAGAGAAACGATGTGTCTTATACATACTTGACATGACTGCATGACCGATGTACAATTACATGATAATATATTTTTATTAAACATAAATTTAACGTTCTATTCCTACAGCAAAAAAACAACACTTCAAACTAGTGTAATAAATTCACAAACTCTAAACTATGGCTCTTATAAACGAACAAGATTCAATGATGAGGACTATCGCGGTAAGTATTCGCGTGTCATCATTGGCCGCAGCATAGTAACCCATTTGCTATCGGAAACTGCAGGCGACCCTGAGTAGCAGATGTAGGATTAGTAAGCCCGATGGTTGGTCTAACCCTCTCCTGTATTATAGCTTAGGATATGTGTGGTGATTTAATTTTATTTTGTATATCTCACCATTTAATGTTTTTAGGTGAATCTTGTCGTAACTTTGAATGAAACCACGCTGTTCGATAACTTTGATGAGTTTGAGGAGATCGGCCAACATGATTTGTGATGGAACTAACCATTCTATGGATGATTTGCCTATGAATGTATAAGTGTATAGAATTTGTCTTCTATCTTTTTCTGATGTGTGTTTGGTGCAGTGCATCATAAAAGTAGGTTGGAGTTCATTCATCCTATTGACCCGTTATTGCGATACGGGAACAGATCTCATGATTACGCAGGGATGGATTGGTGACGGCCTTGTTCAAGTCCATAGGTTTGGATGCGCTAAGCCTTATTAGGTTTATTATGTTCTTCTTGCTTGTTTTGAATATAAAATTTAATAGGTATGGTTCAGGTTCATATTTGTTTTAAGTTGTCTTATAAATCTTAGTTTGTTGAGAATTGACCCCTCCTTTTTTCTTTGTCGATCATTCAGGTCGTTACAAGAACATGGTGGTATATTTTGTTGGCAAGTTTCTCTCTTATGTTGCAGTATGGTTTCATTGCTAGTTATGTGAATTAGAATTGCACTTCCAGATTGTGTTTTTTACTATAAGTTTAAATGAAGTACGGTGCTAATTTTGAACCAATTTGTGAAAGTCGTCAATAGTAATAGCCTTCAGGAGATGTCCACTGGTAGAATTGAATAGAATCTTCAGAGAGGGGTTTAGGACTATGTGAAATTTGGTTGCATGTGCGATTTGCCACTTGAAGAACAATATTGGTGTAATATAGGAGCACAATCCTACTCAGCTTTGGCGCTATGTTGGATAGTTTAGTTCACTCCAATACCGATTTTGCATAAAATTTTGTGTCAGACATATTAGTAATTACTATTAGTACTAAGTACTAGTACTATCAGTAGTAGTAGTAGTAGTAGTGAGTGACTACAGTGACAACACGCAAAAAGCCTTAGGGGGAAAAACCCTGGGCGCATATCCTCTCAAAGTGACACGTCCGTCGACGACCAATCGGAGGCGCGCAGATCAGCACTAAGCTGATAAATATAAAAAGCTAACAACTAACGCCTAACCTAACCCCTAACCCTTACCACACCTCGCCAGTTAACCAGCCCACTCACGATACGCAGTCTTAAATAATGCAACCAAAACACCTCGCATCAGCTTTTTCAGTTTTAGTTTTTTAGATTTTTAGTGCCTGAGCTGATCTGCGAGCGCTGCATCGGTCGGTCCGACAACACGGT